CACGGAATTGAAAAAGACTTAACAATGACATTGCGTGCAATTCATGCGATCAGCTCAACGAGCGCGCCTTGTTGGAAACACCTCTCGTGAAGAACTAGAAAACTCTTGAGTCCCAACACGGATTGCCTCAGTCTTTTGCGACAAAATCAACGCAATTGTGGAAAACTCGTCAACGATAGTCCTTCAAAGAAGACCGATCAACAAAGTGTGATTTATGAGGTAAAGTAAGCTTGGGACAAGTTTCGTTTTGAAATTAGCTTTTGTTTGGTACATATCATATAGCTCTTGGCTTTGAACGGTCTCTTTACTTAATCTTTTAAGGTCATCGGCAACATGCGTTCGATCAGTTTCAGGATCTGGGAAATTTAAGCCCGGTACGTAAATGGTCTTTTCGCTTACACTGATTGCAACGTGTTAGACGGGAAGCTGTGTAGAAAACTAATCAAAAGCACTTCTGCAATTTCCCTAAAAGTTCCCCTTATAAATTGATGTTGTTTCAAGTTGGGATGAAAAGCATTCTTGTTATTACGTGTCTGTGTCTGCAGACTTTATCTGACGCATGAACAAGGCGATTTGTTACGCAGGAGAGGCTCCCCCATAGCTCTAAACGTGTCTTCTGCCAGCGGCACGTCCACCACGGACAGACATATCAGCGGTGGCGAATAGAAAACGACGAGAGAACCAATCAGATTCGCGGATTTCCAATTACACAGTTAAGTGGTTCAGTACTAAAACACGGCATTAGTAGCCACTCGGCTGCGTTCTATTGGAAATAGTCGTATCTGATTGGTTCTCGCATTGTTTTTATTTCGCTAATAAACAACGCGCGCCGCTGCTCTTAGAAACTGACAACTATTGTAAATTTAGGGCTTTAAGATGCGCAAAATTGGAGATTGTGCGCTGTAATCCCGTAATGTGTCTCTTAAAACAATTAGACCTCTCGCCCTTGTTCTTGATGAGCGATAGTTAACGCGGTTACGCGTCGTTTTGAGTATTCGCTCATAGGAAACTCGGGGTCGTAGTCTAATTATTCATTACTTTAAGTGCCAGTCCTCTGCTCCTTTCGCGTATAATTTCTAGAAGGCGCCATACCAACATTTGGCATGCAGTAACAAAGCAACCGTGCACCACCGTCAGTTTACTTGCTTGTACAATTCATCACTCCATGACTTATGCAATAACTGCAATGAGGGGCTTTTGTGTAATAGACCTTTTTACATTTGTCTGCTCAGTGACCTGGCCTCTGAATGGCAGCGAGGCTGGAGGTGACCTTGTTTTGATACAAACCTCTTGCTGGTTTTGTTGTGTAAATCAAGTTTTTCCCATGCTGACTACTTGGTATTTAAATAAGAAAAGCAGAGAGGTCTGTATCAAAACCAGGTTCGCTTGCATCCATGGGCCAAGTAACTAAGCACAGACGGAACTGTAAAATGGCCTATTCGCGTTGCTTCTTGCATTTGGCGTATTCACGCTGGTGTTTCAACAACTCAGTATAATTTCGGTTTCCAATTTTATATTAAAATATCTTTTTTTTTTTTTTTTTCGGATGTCAAGTCAGTTTACTCAGTTAAACAGCTCAAAAAGCAAATAAGGGTGGAGTGCAGAGTTCATGGCTTTTAGCCATTGCCGTAATATAGGAACGCAAAATTCCATTTTACCTAGGATCCTAGTTTAGCTTTGACTCGCAAAATTCAATCTGGAGTAAAGAGCCAGTTTAATGGCTTTGAAATTCATAACAATTCAGAAAATTTACCTTGTTATAGATTCACGTAATTATTTACCACAAAATCAACACTTTGCATGAAAATGGTATGTGGAAAATTCTTCGCTCGTAAGGACATTAAAGAAGTCTAAAGCAAGATTAACGGCAGTGGGTTCATGGTCAACTAACGCAGTTTTTGATTCATTTTCAATAGATGGATCTCTTCTACCTTATATCCCGTTTTTATTTTTTTATCTAAGCTTTTCCCTAGTCAAGGCGTCTTATATGTAGTTTTATGCTCTGAGCTAGTGGAAAAGGTGAGTTTTTCAGGGTCGGCAACAAGACGTTTCGCGCTGTGAATAAATAATATCTGCTCGCGCTAGTTGTACGAGTAAGATTTTGCGTTTGTTCTGTCTGAAAGAAAAGTTATGTAAGAAAACTCTTAACTCTGGTATCGAGTTAATTTGTGAATTTCCCAAGCAATGCTTAGTCATAACCAAACCCTGTTTTTGATAGTTTCTTATTGTTTCTGTTTGTTTGGTGAGTTTGCAAAAGTTTTTGAGAGGAAAGTCTGACGCGTACAAGTAGCTCATTTGCATTGTGCAGCACGTGCACATTCAAATCCGAGTCGGTGTTTTCAATTGTCAACAAATCTTGACAAAGATTTCCTTCGTTGTCTTTTGTGCTGAGATGCTGCAACAATTTTCACCAGCGCCAAAAGGCTACTAACATTATGTGTGTTTCTTTAACATAGTAAAATTTTACACTGCCAAAATAAAATACACAACCAACAAAATCGAAATCGTTATTCGGGTTGATTACAGAAAGCGTCATCGTAACTTTGCTGATTATTTCTGCAGTATTCACATATTTTCAGCTAAGCTTTTAATATGTTATCAAACATTTATCATGACAACCTTAAACATATTTAAAAACTAGAGATATTATATGAGTTGGATGTACGTTTTCACACGAAAGTGCGGAAGTCCAATTTGTCATGTTTAATTTTACTGACTGTAGAAAACACGCATCGGCGGGCGCTTCATCGACAACAGAAAATTTATTGGATTTTTACACAAACAAAACTGAGCAGCATCTACAGACATAAACTCATTTGTCACTCATTGGGCCTTGATAAAATATCAAGCTTTGCTTACGATTCAGGCCAAACTCAAGCTTGCAATTATTTTTTTATTATTATTTTTTTTTTTTTTACTTTTCGGTCAAAATAGACACTGGTGAAATCCTCGCAAGCGTGTGGCAAGAAGAGGGAAACTTTGAAGTCCTGAAACGCTGCCATATCCAAACATATCCAACTAGTTTTTTGCTGTGTTACGAAAAAGCTGTTAATCTTCATTATATGTGAAACTTAGAGTGGAGTAATGTGGAACTCTTGTAAAAGAAGCAGCGGAACACAACTTGGTGAGTGATATAAAGCGGCACATAACTAAACTCGACATTGTCTTACTTCACTCAAACTTGAGCAGTTTACGACGAAAATACTGAAGTAAAATTCCAACAGACATGAACGTATTGAGTTGTGAGCTAAAAGCATCAAACATTTCGGAAATTTCGGACGCCATTTCCCCGTGCTACGTCCGCAAAAATCCTCGCAGCATGTACGCGCGTGTGCCGCACATGATGGCGCAATTTGTTCTAAAAATAGAAAAATTGTCCCATATCATAGGGACAGTCCCAATACTAGAAATAGCGCGCGCTTACGGTCTCCGTCCCCGATTATGGCTCCCGCCAAAACATAAATTTGAGCGATAACAATTCGTTAAAAATTACATATCGAGAAACGTTTTGCGGCGTAGTTCTGGACATGGTTGCAAGTATCTCTTGTCGCAAGTTATCCCCCGCTTTAAAAGATCTCCTGAGGTATCAAGGTAAATATTCAACGACTTCAATGCAAAACAGTTATTTACCCGGGTTATTTAACAGTCAAGAAACAGACATGACAAGCAAGTCTTTTATGATACCGCCGTTTTTTATTTAACCCCGGAGACAGGTAACAGCGGAGCGGAAAGCAAAAGTACCTTATAAGATTAAAGAACGGAATTATAAAATGCCTTGTATGAAAGTTACAAAGGGCACTACTGAAAGAAAAGTTTCAAGTCGGTCAACTCAATGACTCTTACGACGCGAAATACAACTGGAAAATCCCTTATTCTGAATAATCGGTGTTCAATTAATCATTTCACCAAGACAACTGGAAATACAGGCAGTGTATGTGTTGGGATGACCTTCTTGTTTCCACTTGCAGCTGTTCGCACCTTTTAGATCTTATTTTACTTATGGCCTTTAATTAGGAGACCTCTCGACATAAATGGAATTTTAAAAAAAAGATAACACAAGTGCGGAGGCTTTTTAGCATAGGCAGCCGCATATCATTTTGAATATTATGTTTACCTGAGGAATCATGAAAAAATAATTGATAGATTGAAAAAACAAACCGGCAGAGGTCTTCGTCTACTAAGAATTTTTGCAAATTCTGTATTTGGTACATAAGGAATAGAAATCACTTTTCATGGTGCTTTTTTAAGTGTTTAGATGTTACTGCTTTACCATTGGCCAGCACGGCTTGCCTTTAATCAAATAAGACTGTCCCATTTCCTCTCTTCTAGTACCCCATCAGAAAATAAACAAAGAACTGTGTCGAC